GAGTCACAGAGTCACACTTGTGCTACATCTTGGTCTCACCCTTGAACCCCAACTGTGAGGAGAAGAAGAGAAAACGAAAGAAATAAGACTAAAGAAAAGGAAAACCAAACACCAACCCCTCACATCCCGTTCCCTCATTCCCATCCTCCACGTACTCCCGATCATCAAGACATGCATACCTAGGTGTTGACTCAACCCACATCACATGATCCATCCCAATCTAAACCACTCACATCAGGATACCTACCCAGTTTCACTGACAACACTACAGAACACAACAAAACAAGTCCATAGAAAAAAGAAAATAACGACCTCACTTATCTTATAACAGATACGACATCTTCCTCCCTTCATACCCCATCCATCTCATGCCCGTAAATACGATGGGGTAACAAAAAGACCTGACTCAAGCACACGCTAGAATTCCTGATATCTGCATGCAAAAATCGGAGGAGGAGAACGCTGTATGTATGTATGTATGTATGTATGTATGTATGTATGTGTATAATCCATGTATTTGCTTTGCTTTGCTTTGCTTTGCTATATCTACCTCGTAATTGTTTTAGTTAATCTCCCAAGAGAAGAAAAAGAAAAAGAAAGAAAAGGAAACTTTCCATTCCAAAAGACAACCTCCATAGTACATACCAGTTATCCCACAACTACTAGGTAATCTACTCACTCACTCAAATTCTCAGGGCAGGGTCTCTTCCGACAAGTAGAACCTCAACCTCAAGCTAAAGAATATCTATCTCCCCATCTAAAAGCCCTATCTCCCCACCCCCCTCTCCCCCATTCGTCCCCTCGTTCCAAACGCTGTGCTCCCTCGCCCTCGCTCCCTCCTACGCCATACAAATCCTTATGCACGAAATGAACCATGTTACACATTACCATCACTACCACATACATACATACATACATACATATCATACCGTACATACCATATCGTAAGTTCGTAACCTTACAGAATACATTTCCAAACTTTCTTTTCATCATGCTGTGTGCGTATATATATATTTTGTACCATACCACTGTAGGTAACCTTGTTGAGGGTAAGTAAGTAAGTAAATAAGTAAGTTGCATATCATTCATTCACATTATCACACATCACTCGATATCGATATCACAATACATACTCTACCTACCCACCTACTCCCAGAAGCAATCCTCAAAATCAACTAATTAAATTCCCAACTTTAAAGATAATATTATTGCTACTACCAGTACCATACATCGCATGTGAATATTCACAATCCACAAATCCATCCATCAACCAAGAGACTAAATTCACCCCAGTCAATAAATTCCTTCAATCAGATCCTTCGTACTTTGCAAATCATCAATGTGAACATGTGCGTACTCCATACAACCTGCACCACAGAGCGAAAAAGAACGACCCTCCCCTCCTCCCCCCCCCCCACTAACACCACCCGAAATCATCTTCGTAGTCGGCCCCAAACCTCGCATACCTAGCTCGCCTCGTTACCATCACTGATTCACTGCATGGTTGGCGAAACATCAAGGGTTGCAGGAGGTGGGGTATGGTGTGTTATTAGAGTCATCTCCTACACTTTCTATCAAATTCCCTATTTCCTGATTCCCTGATTCACACTACCTACCTACAATAACTTAGAAATATCGAGCGTGTACCTAGGTATGTATACGATATCCGGGTGAATGTATTGCCTATCAATTTACCAATACCTCTTTCGTAGAGGCCGCATACGATAGCGGGGTCACAATGTGAATCTTCCACTAAAATGGGTGTATGAGGGGGCCTCGATTCTCAAAGGGTCAGATGCTACAAGGTTGTGTGAGCGGATTGTGCTGCGTGGTGGGGTATGGTAAGCAAAGCAAAGCAAAGCAAAGCAAGCAACGCAATAACACCGCACGTATGCACCTGCTCCAATGAATAATCAAAAGACGCACAAAGAGCGCAGTGTGAATGGAAGAATATGGTTGGTCGTGAATGAAAGACATGGTAGAAACGAAGTGGATGCAAGCGATTCCGATTTCTATCCCAAGGGATACTTAAAGAGTTCAACTTTCTTTCCAGTAAAGTCTTACACCCACAACCACAACCACAACCACAACCACAACCACAACCACATCCAACGAAAGAAATAAATCTACATACCTACATACCTACCTACGACTTCACTTCCACGAATCAACAAATTCTCAAACAATCTAACTCTTTTAATCACCACCCTCTCAAATCTATCAAGATGCCTGAAGCACATGGATGCAACTGCGGCGAATCCTGTATGTATCTATCATCTCCCTTTCAGTCCTTGTATCACATTCCATTCTTCGGAATGCTTGAGCGGCTTGAGAATTCCGGCTCATCATATATATAGGCAAATGCGAAAAGGACAACTGCTCCTGCAAATAGATTCTTCAATATGATACTCAAATCCGTTCATTAAACACCATATCATCTCTCTCGAAATAACCTCGAATTTCCTCTTGAGAATCCTCCTCTTCGATGCGAACAAAACATCTTGATCTTGTGGGCGGACGCTTTTCGATTTAGCCGGGTACGCAAAAGATACAGAAAGAAGTGTCGCTGGGGTGGACTTTGATGCAGCAAGCTTGGGGGAATGGAAAGCTTTTGATATCTGGGTTTCGTGCGGAAAGGAAACGGAAAGGGAAAGGGGGTTTCAAATTTACTTTGATATCAAATCAATTGTCATCTTGACTCCAAATATTTCATCGTATTCTGCTTTCCAAAATGTTGATCTTTGTGATTTGTGACATGAGAAAAACTCTTGATAAATAAACACCCCACTACTTATTGCCCTTACGATGAATGCGGGGTAAACGCAAGTAAAAAGTAAATCTTCATTGCACGACTTACCAATTACATTCCTTTCTTTCCATTTGTTATGATTCTATGTTAGTGAATCTTATCATCAAAGGTATCACAAGCCTTCTTCCGCGGACGGGAAAGTTTCCTCGTGGCCTTATGAGTGGGTTACAATCTCCCAGCTTGATCCCACCCCAGTACCAAGTCCCAAAGACTCTAAGGCTTTCCCTACCACACCTACATTGTCATACAGCGCAAACGCTGAACCTGTATTTCCTTCACGACTCAAGCCTCCATAAAGAAGTTGCCACGTCTTTAAAGCCTTCTTATCTTTCATCCTATCAATGCATCCATTTGTCCAGAGTGTCTCAGCCTTGCCATCTCTGCCCAAGAATGGATAAGTCACATTGCCTCGAAACAGCATCTTAGAAGTATAATGATGAACTAGTACCGTATTGATATCAGTGTATCCGAGAAACTCTCCGTGACTTTATCCGGGTTGCTGTTTTGCCGCGATTGATTGTCCTTCTTCGAGCAAGCTGCATCATTGAATACATCTTGAAATTTCCCGACGTCGTGTCACCTCAGGTGAGGCCATGCTGCTTAAGATCGGCGCAATAGTCGTGTAAAAATATCTCACCACACCTTCACCAATCACCCCACTGTCAATGAATTCATACTCTCGGGTTACCCAGAAAAGCAAAGTACGAACGTGAGACCAAGATCTCCGGGGAAGGACTCCCACGCCGGCGAGTAATTATTATCGAATGATGGTTGATCACTTGCCTCTTGTTCCGCCTGTTGTGTATTTCATGGCATCTAACTTTAGTTTGGGGACCCCTCCTTTCTCAATTCGTCAGGATAAAGCCTGGAAGCGTAGGTCACTCGCTGGTCGTATTCTATGCCTCGCACTCTAGCTTGTTTTCGCAGGCTTCCACTTTCCAATCTTTGAAGTTGATAGCTTTGATCTGTGAGTATAAGTAGCTGCTTTACTTCCTCTTGTTTTTGGTATTCTTTCATCAGAAGTACATCAACACAAATCACCACAATAAAGCCAACCGACACACTCCACAAATAACATACCAATAATCATCATGTCTCCATGCTCTTGCTGCACTCATGCTGCCACTGAAGGTTGCTCAAGCACCTGCAGCTGTTGCAAAGACAAGGTACGCGAATTTCTTCCTTGCCGCTGGGCAGGCACCAGGTATTAACAGACACCACTGTAGCACTAATGGCTTCATCTCGCGACCTCTCCTCACATAACCTCATAAGTATTCACATCGTCGCTCCGTCAGATCGCCAGCCATCTCGACCAAGACAACGATAACCGAAGACCGAAGACCGAAGACCATGAGCGAGACGACCAGTACACCATGTGATGAGTGGGAATAGTGATTGATTCTTGCATTGAGAGGAGTTCTGCATGTTATATTTCCTGGGATGAAACAGTGGATGTATGCTATCTTTTTGGTTGGTCAGAGACGAGATATAAATGTGTTGTTTGCTGTTTGTAAAGGACGGGGGTTGAAGCAGGGTCTACTTGTTTTTGGTTTCTGATTTGAGATAAATTCATCACACTCGTTCAAGTAACTGTTTGATTCGATTGGCCGTAATGAAATCTGTTTCATATCTGATCATCTTGTTTGCCTCTTGGGATCAAAATGTGAAGCTTTTCTTTGGATTCGCAATAGACATGGCCGCCCCAAAATGAGAGAGTGCGTAGATGGGTCTGGGTCGAAGCATCTTTGAGAGCTTTCGATTCAAAATTCTTCGCCGCACCCAAGGCGAAGTGTATCCCAACGTGAAGAGATAGAATCCGATTAAACTCGCCGGCTTTGTCCAAACTCTCACTTCCTAAGTAGCTGGACGAGGGGTCGCACGTAGAATAATCGATGAAACATGAGATTGGCGCTGGAATCGAACGGCAAACAATAGATTTCTTGAGTCGAGCTTTGTAGAAAGAGAAAAAAGAAAAGATTTCTTTGGAATCTGATAAAAGAAGGGGGATTATATAGAGTCGATGGGTCTAACTTTATAATCCCTTGAAAGCAAAAAGCATCTAGTAACTAACACCTTGATGGGTACCTTTGAGTCTGTGTCACTCACTACCAATACCTTGACGGATACCTCCCTAGTACTTGTCTGCTTCCTTGCCTATTGCGTGATCAATGTATCCGTCATGCCTCCTATGGATGATGGAAGTACTTATCTAATGTTTTATCCTGCATTCGACCTGCATATCAAAGTCGTGAGCTGTTTGTTACCAATATGATTGAGGGTCTTCCACTTGCTATCTAGGTATTAGGTAGGTAGGCAGTGGCAATACATCAACTGTTGAAAACATTTAACTGGTTTGAAAAGCTGTATTAGAAATAAGGACTAGTCTAACTTTAATTGAAGTTAACGCTGGTTTTGCCCATCGGGACCTGTAATATCTTGGGTTTCTGGAACCCCAACGCAAATCTATATTCTATCATGCGCTGTTATAACAATTATTCATCAATAATATCCATGTAGCCTTCTAAAGCCTCTCGGCCATGGTTTACTGATATGTCTCCTGAGCATTCCCAAGTATCTATCAACCTATTACGAATATGTGTTGTTGGCAGTGCATGTTGTTGCTCGGTGTATTTTAATACCTCTAGAATACACCCTCGGTCTTCGATATCTGTAAACTGTTCGCCGCCTGTTTAGAGAGTGTGGTTAATTGATAAGGAACCTTGGCGACGGGAAGGAAGACCTACACATAGAGATAGCCATATACGCTATGTTCATCGCGGATGGAGACCGGTGGTTTGATATTGCTACACCACAAAGACGTTTAACAATCGTGTTTATCTGTGCCTAGGGTATCAGGATCATCAGTATAGCACTCAAAGTCATATATGAGAAAACATACTTCGATGTCTTTTTTAACTGCTCTGAGGCCTGGTCCCAACCTAGGTATTCGCGGATCGTAAGTTGTGAGTAGGATTCGAGAGATATCCATGTGTTGATGTGCAGTGACTATTACATTTGATGAGTATTGCATTATTGCAAGTTATCGGAAACCGCTTACCATGGCAATCAGATAAATACCATATCTCAGGTAGGGCCCGCCTGGAATTCACAGCAGGAGCTCTATCGTATAAAGCATCGAAGGATTGTGGACGTAAGCTTTCCCAGCCTTCGTGATACTGAACTAACATGTCGTAGTCGCTATTAGATTTACTGCCTAGGCCGTAACAGTATTGTAATACATCAGCACAATGAACAATTGTTCGATAAGCCCAAGTAAAATCGTCTGCGTATTCAAGGGATCGATATTCGTGATACTGCAGAGGCATGTGAAAAGGTCTTTGTCTAAGAAATGCCATGTGAACTTCTTGTCTGTAAGCGACACGAAATGCGGCTCTACGAAGGCTACTATCAAGACCTCCTGATGCTTGAGCCGTAAGAAAAACTTGAGTTCCTTTGGGTGCCCCATCTCCCCCGCTCAAAGGTGCTACAAGACACAATGTATAGTCAGTCAAAGCAATTTAAATTCATTGGATAGGAAAAGCAAACCATCAATTTCTTCATAAAATCTCAATATCACAGAGGCGACTAGTAGGTTCTCGTCATACAAGACATCAAGATTATCTGATACAGATACAAGATGCTCGGTACACTTGCTGTGATATTCAGCGGCAGTCTCCATATGTAAGTTGGGCAGCGAATTTCCGTTATATTCAACCATGCCATTGTTCCTATACCGTTCGAGCCGGCCAAGGTATCTCGCGGATGCTGTGTATATAGCATTGAGAAGTGCGGGACAATGCTTCGCCCTTTGTGGAACTACTAAAGCAAAATGGCGCTCTGGGTCGCAGAGGTCAAACTGAAGATAACAACAAGTATGAGCAAGGGTAGGCTTTGTTTGAGGTCTGTACATACCCAACCAGCTAGCTCATCTGCAAAATATCTCAAAAGGCAAGCCTGCTGTATTTCCGACTGAGATAAATCATCTACGACTTCATTTTGGACATCCAGTTCACGAGGGAAGATTGTAGATAAGTCATAATCAACGGGCCGCTGATGCACCATTTCCCCAGACGTATTTGATCCAGTGAGATATCCATCGATCTTTGCGGGTCTTCTTGGGTAGGATCTGACAGCTGAACGCTTGCTTGAAGAAGACGAATTGTCATCGTCTACCCTTTGCCTCTTCACTGGGGATCTTTCTTGATCCTGCGAAATGGACTTTTTAAAAGCTTCAATACGAGAGGTAGCAGATGGCCGCCGCTCGATCAGCCCTGTGGAGATAATTGGGTGGGGAGTTTCGCTCCAATTGGCAGTCAAATCTGATGTAGTTGTGCTTTCACGTCTTGCTATCACTGTATATATTTCGTCTAGTTCAGGTGACTCATCGATAAAGTCATCAGAACCAACTAAATAATTGTACGTGTGAATAAGGATGATTGGGGCGACGATTCAACTTCTACTTACTTTTTCCAGGTAATCTCACCCATACTTGATTTTGGAAATTGGAATCGTAACGGGCACTAGAGCCATGACGAAAACGTATTTTTCCAAGGGAGTTAGAAAAGTTCGGATGGATACTTTCGTCGTCTGAGTAGTTATGTTAGGTGTTGAAATGAAGCTATATGAATTTATGCTGTCGAGCAGCCAGGGTATGAGCCTGTGAACTTTACAAATACACCTACCAATATGGATCTGCTCAATTGCAGAAGACCTAATGATTGCATGTCAGCCAAGTTCGATTGGACAGACACATTGCCTTGTGTTTTATGTATGAACTTCGGCGGTGAGATGGATTACCTAGGACTTGACATTGAAAATCTAGGGGAAATTTCGATATTCTTGTGCGACCAGTATCATTACTAGATGAAATCTTGGCTGTCACTAGCATCTGGAATTGCTTAAAGCTCAATGGATGAAACACAGAATGTAGACACACGACCTTCACGAATTTATCGTCTGGTGGGCAAGTAATAATAAAGCAATAGAATAATATGCTGAACTGTGGGAAGGTGGGAAGGCGTGGGGAACTAGAAAGCTGGGGTAAGAGCATGGGGGATAACCTCGTGTAGGTAGGTACCTCCCTATCCACCGAGCCACCTAACAGATGTACCGGTCGATTGTCTTGATATGTCTTGAATCATATAATACCTATTTCCAATCAATATCTTTTTGGTGATGTCCCGAGCATTGGATATTTGATAACAGAACGAAACATAATGGGTATGCAGTTTCGCATTTTCGTTCTGCAGGTACTTGTGATTGGCATTTTGAATCTGGAACTTCGAGTAAGATCTTACAACTTTACAAGAATAGAAGCTGCAAGGCAGAGAAGTTAGAAACCGAAGATGCTCCGACGGCTGGGACATGATGTCTGATTGACTAATCCATAAGTTAGGCATTTCTTAAATGCATACTGATGCAATGCAGAGATATCCCGAATGCAGCAAAGAGGACCGGTTCATCCTCGCCATCATCGCCCACTAGTATATTGTTTGTTGATAGAGACTGGTGGGCGTCGAAGAAAGTTGAAGGAGATTGTGTTTCACGATCATGTGATTAACGAGTAAATGACTACCCAGCCCAGCGAGTGTTCCGTGGACGTGAGATAGGTTTATACTATTAATAAGTCGATTGGAACCTTCCCTGTCCCCCTTCGTGATTCGAAAACGCTCGTTGATACAAAAGGTTGAGGCTAGCAACTTTGTAAATTGTAGTTTTAGTTAATGTTATTAATTCTTATTTATTAGTCATCATAAGAAGCCTCATTCTATCTGGTTCTCACGTTTCATATAAAAAAGAGCAAGGCTATCCCAGTTATCGGAATAGAAAGAGGCTATTCGTGGATCCCACATATTAAGATGATGTGAGTGAACGATGATAGATGAGTAAACAGATATCAGTTACACCAGGCATTCATTAAGCACACAGTCTATAGGTAGGGACGGAATCCACTCATCAGTCCTATATCAACCATTCAGAATCTTCAGGAATCAGAGGTAATGGAGGATTTCAGAAGTACATCTTAGGTAGGCAATGAAAGTACCAAGATAGGTGGCTCGGGTGGGTAAGGAAAAGAAGATGGATGACGGAGAAGTTTCTAATCCAATCAATATAAATCAATCTTGATGCTCCCCCTAATCGCTTTCGCTTTGCACAACGACTTCATCGTCTTTATCAAGTACTCATAATTAATAAGTATGCTTGTAAGTTGTAAGTTGTCATTGGCGGTACTGGTCCTGAATACGGATCCAGTTGAAATGAGAGGAATGTCGCGAAACATTCTTACCAGCAATCAGTTCCTCAACCTCAAACACCTAAATACTGTAATGTAACTCCTCTCGAATTCACAATCTCCTGGATTCCATAACTCCATTCCATTCAATTGAAGATTATTATTGTTCGTGAAAAGCATTATTTGTTATTGAATTTGTGTCTTCCTTCTTCCTCTTCACCTCCTTCTCCTCTTTCTCCTCCTTCTCCTTCTCCTTTTCCCCTCTGTTAGACTTCTCTCTCCAATAAAATATGTTACCGTACCACACCGGGACCTTGTTACCAAACCAAAATTGATAAGACCTCACTCATTTCGCATTTAATAAAAAGCGTCGAGGCTAGGCCGTGGATCCCCTTTAAACTTAACGGTTTTGCTTTGACAGTACCAGAAACTCAAACCCAAACCCAAGTTTGTTATTCTTAACTATCTTTACCAAACGCCCACCTGGACATTTCCTCCATCTCGTTCGACGTAATGAGATGAGATATGCCATAGTCGCTTTTGCGCCTTTGAAAATCCATGAATTCCCAAAGATAGATTGCCAAATCCACTCAAATGACTGTGCTTAAAGACGCGCTTTCGCGATCCGATACATTTTTGCGACCCCGGTCGGAATATATCTCGAGTCCCGGCATGCAATCCGACGACTCTACACCTTCAACGCCAGATAAAGATCACGATCGAAAACCACGAACTGTGCGAAAACCATCGCCCGGTCTTGCTGCTCGACTTGCAGCGTTAGGTTTTGGAAAAGATCCCGATCCAAATTCAGCAACGACAATTTCACCAGTTGACCGAATTGGCCGCATTCCTGAAGATCAAATTCGCCAGCTTGATCACCTCCACCGCGCTAATTCTACGAGTTCGCATATTCACCGACGAGGTCGTGCTTGGAGTGGCAGCATTGGTCTCTTGACTCCTCAAGTAACTGGTGGCAGCTTTAAAGAGACCAACCTTCGAGAGATCAACATTAGTGACACGCGAGTACTTGACAGTGCCACGCATTCAACGCCTTCGCTTGATAACTTTGTTAACCAGGACATGACAACAAATGTTGACCTTATAGGAATGGATTCGCAGAAGTATCGATTGCCAGAACATACAAATGGAAATGGCACGAAAACAATGGCAGACATAAAGCAGGCGCATATCGAACGAAATATACCTCCTGTAAAAGAGATTGAAATACCTCCACCTCCTATCCACAAAGACGAAATTCCTCCACCTCCTATTCAAGAAGACGAAACACCTCCACCTCCCATAGCTAAAGATACTCCGCCAACTGCGACAACACCCAGCGAATCTTCAAATGATGTTTCATCCTACTTCAATCCCTTTGGCCATCAACGGGCAGGCTCAATTTACACTTTATCGCGAGCGTCTTTTGCCAGTCAACTTGCTCAATTGACGTCTTTGCAACTACCAGATGCAGCCTCGTTGTCAACGAAAATATCCGCAATTCCCAGCTCAAAATCTGCATCGAAGGCATTAATGGGAGCCGCAGAACAAATTAGAAGTTGGATATCAAAAGCATCAGATGTTGTTTCTGGCCTAGATGGAGAGGATGACGTAGAATGGGCAGCAGCTGGTGGTAGAGAAGGGCTAGAGGAAGTGGATAATGCGATTACACGTTTCGAAAAATTAATTAATATTTACGTTTCAGCCATCGAGTCTTTACAAGAACGCCCAGATATTGCTACGGTTCCTGCAGACGAACTTCAAAAGGTCGTACTACAGGTAGAAAGCATCCTTGAGGAATGGGAAAAGATAAGGAGAACTCTCAAGGGTGTAAAAAATTCGGTTGAGATTGCTATGGAATGGGAGGAATTATGGAATACAGTTTTGGGAGATATAGGCAATGAAGTGGACATTCTGGCGCGACTCGTTTTTGAAATGGAAGAGAAGCGGCACAAGTCCTTGGCAGAAGCCGACAACGACGGAGTTGATATCAAAGAGCTCGAGACAATTGTAGAAGAAACGCCCTCATCTAAGTCGAGGTTACAGGCCAATAGTCGATTTGGTATGCCATCTTCAGCAGCCTTTCCTCTGAGCCCGAACTCGCCAGTTACACCAATAATGGCGCAAGACGATTCAAGCCTTTTAGCATTGTTTGCAAGAATGCAGCCCCTGAGAGCTTCTTTGGACTTTTTGCCTATGAGATTATCTACGTTTCATGCTAGAGCCGAAACGATATTTCCCACGGCCTGCGACGAACTAGAAAGCCGACGAGGTGGTTTGGAGAAAAGTTGGAAATCTCTCGAGAAAGATGCTGAATCATTACGAAGGGAACTTGGAGAAGATCGTTGGGTTCTCGTCTTCCGCGGTGCGGGTCGACAAGCACAGAAAATGTACGAATCTGTCGAAAGAAGCTGTGCCAAGTTGAAGGAGTCTCTTGATACTGGGGTCCATCTAAACAACCCTGCTACAATGGGCAAGAAGATCGAAAGTTACGAAGCGAAGAAAATGCACTACGGACCAGCCATCGAAAGGGTTCTATCAATTATCGAGAAAGGAGTAAAGGATCGCCTCACAGTCAATGGTGAAATCTTGAGATTACACTCAGATATGCAACAGAGGTGGGATTCATTGAAAGATCAAATGAACGAATTGGACACAATACTTGAAGAACTCCAGTCAGATCGCAGAAACCAGCAGCTCAGAGATTCAATTTCAAGTATGGTTTCGAATGATCGCTCAACCATTGGAAGCTTGAACAATGACACACCAGGAAGTTCGCCTGCATCCTCGGTGATAATGTCAAATCTAAGTAGTAAACTTGATCCCACAACACCCGCAAGGAATGGAAAGATACGTTCCAGTGGCAGAAGTAGTGTGACTGGAGCAAGAAGGAATTTAAGTGTTGGACAACCTCCTCGATCTTTCAGTCGAGCTTCCCCATCCCCTATTCCTCCCCGACAAAGCTCTGCAACTCCAACTGGTCGACTCCCCCGACCTTCCAATACACCCAGTGACAATCGACCTCGATGGAATACCAGCACTAATACCAGTGATATACTTATTGGCCATGGCTTCAAACCTCTTAGTGTCACAACACCAAGTTCCACCCAATCAAATCGGTCTACCAGGTCCAATACATCTGATTCCAAAATACCACTCCGAAGCCCACTGGGCCGCGGGAATACAGCCTCTCCAGTCATACGAGAACCCATAACTCCCTCAGGCAATAGGCCGGCTTCGCGAACAGTACGACGAGACCTCTCCACCCCTGGACCATACTCTCAACATACACTATCAGTTAATTCACCTTCCCGTCCCCGTGTTCTGGCTAGCAAGTCTTCCATGTCCAACCTGACAGGCAATAACCGTCGCTCCTCGATGCAACCTTCGTATTCATATGAAGCCAGAGCTAGCAGCCCGGTGGTTCGGAGACCTGCTAGCTCGTTAGCTACCAGCAGAAGGATTAGCCTTCTTCCCACCCCACGAGGTAGAAACTCGGAAATGGCTGGCAGGGATAGTCCCGCACCAAACAGAGGTAGCAGCACATCCACAACTGATAGCAAAGGTAATCCCAAGAAGCAATGGAGACCATAAAATACTCTTGTCAAATCAAAGTTCTTGGGTTACTGAAGCTTTGTAAATGAGTTACGGTGTTTTATTGTTCGACTTAAATTATACACAGCATGGTTTGTAGGCGTTTTTTTTCTTTCTTTGCCACGCCATTTTGAAACGCGCGATGTCTTTTAGCGAGTGGAATTTTGTGCTATTGAAATTATACCGTGTGAATGGAGCATTGAAGGAGTTTAAACGGTATGGTCGAAACTTGGCTGCACAAGATTTCACAATCCACATTTGAAGGTTATAGAAGTACAATGGATTGGCATGTGATGGATTGGGAATT